ATTAATCTTCATTTACTATATAAAGTCTCTGGGGAAGACAGTAAGTAGCACCTCCACACAAAAAGCTAGGGATAATAATGGCTTCATCTCATGTTCTCCCCATATCCAGGGAAAGCACAGACTCCATATTACATGGCTCCACATAAAGTTAAACAGCATGGCCTGTTTGGTACTGTAATTAGAGTTTATACAGAATTAAATGCAGCATGCAAAGAAGTCGTATTTCCTCTAAAGTGCACTCCCTTCAGCCATAACAATAAATATTTATTTAGAGCTAATAATATGTCAAACTCAGTCAAGTAATGTTGGAAATATTATAGAATTTTGAGTCAACTATATCCAGAACTTTACATGTGCTAAGCACACACTCTACCACTGAGTTATTCTCCAGGTCAAGACCACTTTTTTTTTTTTTGGTACCAGGCCATAGCCCCAGCCCTACTTTGTATTTTATTTAGAGATAGGGTCTCATTGAGTTGTTCAGAGTTTTATTTTTGCTGAGGCTGGCTTTGAACTCACAATCCTCCTGCCTCAGCTTCCTGAGCCACTGGGATTACAGGCATGCACCAATATGCCAGCAAGACCACTCATTTTTATATAAGCATTTAAAATATCTTTTATATATCAATTAACTTCACATGAATAAATAAGAGAAAAAACTAGTGGAAAAATTATAAATATTATGACTACAATATAATTAGTACTGTAATTAAAAACAAAAAATTTCCTTTACCTAAGAAAGCCCTGAAACCTGGCAAATACTTATACTCAATTGAGGTAAAATTTTCAAACAATCTTTTAAGTGGGGGGTGGGGCTGTGGTCTAAGCCTGTCTTTCTGAATAGATAACTCAACCTCCTGTTCTGCATTAAACCTAAAATATTATTAATCTTTGGACTTCAGAATCCTTCTTGACACACCTCTTCCTTTCATCATGTCTGTTTTTTTTTGTTTTTTAATTTCAAAATCTTCCATCTTTCCTATTATCCTCAGTTCTTGTCTGGATTTGCTCATTCATTCATCACTTACCTTACCAAGTGCCTATTATCGGCCAAATGTCCATTATCAGAGAGCTAGACACTGGTCCTTGCTCTTAGGAAGCTCAACTAAAGTTGCAATCTGTGATCTTAATCACCAGACTGCAAGCTTTAGCAAAGGCTTTGTATTTCCAGAAGCTAGCAGCATCTGGCATATAGCACTCTAAAAATGCTTGTTGTATGACTAGATTACTTTAGCAAGCTCTTTTTATAATCCATAAATATTTTAGTATGTATCCTCAAAATGGACTCTTATTTTTCTTTCCTTTTTAAAACACAAGTGCAATATGTGCACACAATGCAAAAATAACACAGAAAGGTATAAGGTAAAAAGTGAATTTCCCAATTTCCTAAATTCTGTTTCCAGAACTGACTACTATCTTATGTATCTTTTCAGAATGCTCCCATGTTAGTATAACACACACACACACACACACACATACACACACACTTTTGAAACAAGTTCTTTGACAGTTTCTGACTATAGTTTTTCAACCTTCTAATCCAGTAGTTCTCGAAGTTTGGTCCTTGGATCATTAGCATCATCTGGGAACCTGTGTGAACTGCACATTCTCAGGTCCCACTCCAGAGCTGTTGAATCAGAAACTCTGGGGGAGGAGTTGTCCAGATTTCTGATGCACACTGACACTGCTCTAATACAGTTATGCCAATTTTTTTGAACTGTCCTACATATGGCAGGCATTGCTATCTTGTCTGTTTATCACTCCTGATTCCAAATGCTTTCCTCCTCTTTTTGACTGAATCTGGACCTATCAATCTATCAAGCCCAGAAAGTCTTGGTTCTTTTCCAAAATGGTCACTATCACAGCTCACACTAATCCTTCTTGGCCCCTTCCCTAAACTATCATGACACACATAGTGCCTCACCATACAATTTAACAATTAGCTTTATATCTTTGATGTCAGAGAACAGTTCTTTACTCTTCTCCAACAGACCATAAGCTCCTTGAAGACATGAACCGTATCTTTGTATCTCTTTCCCTACCTCTGAACTGAAGACAAAATGAATTCTTTTTTTGATGTGTGTGATACTCAGGATTCAATATAGGACCTTGTTCGTGCGAGGCAAGTGCTCTATCACTGAGCTATAGCCCCACCACTCAAAATTTTATTTTGAGAAGGGTCTTGCTTAGTTGTTCAGGTGGGCCTTGAACTTAAAATCCTCCTGTCTCAGCTGAGTAGTTGGTATTACAGATATGTGCCACCATGCCTGACACATAAATGGAATTTTAATAGACCTGCTGGTTAATGAATTCCCCAAGATAAGAAATGCTGGTAAATCTTTTTTTTGTTTGTTTGTGGTGCTTAGGATCAAATCCAGGGCCTCATGCATGTTAGTCAAGTGCACTATCACTGAACTACATTGGTAAATTTTTAATAAATAAAAATTATGGAATTTTAAGCTGTAGTCCCAGTTCTATAGCATTGGATAAATTCAGTTCTCAGGATGATGTCTATGAAAGTGTCAGGGTTGGACTCAATACTTATTTTCAGTTTGAATAATATATGATTTTATAAAATGTCTCATGTAGGAATACCTTAATCTATTATTCTCTCATAATGCTTTGCTTAGAATACTAACAGGACAATTTTTAGATGTGACTTGTTAGATGCAGTTAGACAGTTAGATGCAGTGTTTCCCAGTTGGCTAATAAACTCTTTCAATAGGAAAAATATTTTATTCAACTGAAACTAGCACCATACATAATATTAGCTTAAGGCCTGGTCTGGTAGCACATACCAGTAATCCCAGCAGCACCATGTCTCAAAATTAAAGAAGGGCTCAGGGAGTAGCTTGCCTAACACACGTGAGGCAAACCCCAAAACCACAAAATAAACAAACAAAAAACAGCTCAGTATATCTGCAGAAAATTATATGAAAAAAATCTTTAAGCTTCATTTTAGTAGAGAACCTATACATATATCTGCTGCCTCCCAAAGGGTCCTTCTGAATATTTATTACACATACCATGCACTGATATACAGTAAAAAACTGCTTTTATTCTGATATCACCAGGGTTAGTCAGTCACATAAGGCAAAAGAATGTGACAAATGTATATCACACATACTAAGTAAGTAATAAACTGAAAAGGCAGTAAGCCTTAGACCATCCTACTGCAACATGTAAATAAAAATGGCTCTGTAGGCTTAAGCAACATATACCAACTCAAACTATTGGGCATAAACAGGCTTCCTGATACAAGACCCTTATTTGCAAATTTTCAGAAACATCGGGGTGGACTGAGGCCTTTGAGAGGTGAGTGATGATGAGAAGTTGAATCTAACAGGAGACACAGCAAAGAGAAACTGAAGGGCAAGATGAAGAACAGAAGGGCAACAAGAGACCTTCACCCTTTGAGTGATGAAAAGAAGCAATGGAAATACACTGATTTTACCACTAGTCCACTATAAGCCAGGCATCTGGGGTTGCAAAGACAATTCCTGACCTCAAGGAGCTAATAGTCCTAAGGGTAAGACCTGGCATATATCGTACTGTGTGTGCTTAATTCTAATTGGGAAAATCAAGCAGGTAAGGCTTCACAAAGAAGGGAGTGATTTAGTGTAGTCTTTGAAATGTGGACGAGGATTTGCTAAGGGAGAAAAAGGCAGTTTGAGCTAGTTATTTTGGGGGCAAAACATTCACATATTTTTATAGCTGTTCATTTGGGACTTCAAATCAAGGGCTTCTTAGATGCGGCACCACTGTCAGTGATCTTTCTCCCCTTCACATTATCTTAAATACTGAAATGTTAAAGCCCAACGTTGGAGCAGAACCAGAAGTCCCAGAGTGAGGTGACCGCTCGCCAAATCTGCTCTGTCACCTCCAAGGCCAGCTAGCCCAGCTAGCCCATTCCTGCTTTCCTGGCAGCTAGGAAAAGAAGGCTAATTATACTCACTAGAAGAGATAGGCTGAGGGAAAAATCTGGATGCAGGCAAACAAGGAATACCCTGTTCTGCCACTAAGCCACCATAGGAGAGCTTTCCTACCTCCCAAGTCATGAGGAACCTAGTTTACCTGTGACAATGTGGCCAGCCATGCAGCGGGTGGGGAAGGAGAGATTTCATGAAAAGAAAGGGGGAAGCACTGTATTAGGAAGTGCTGAGGTATTAAGTGAGATGATCTTAATAAAATGCTTAGCAAGATCCCTGACACACAGCAAGTACTGGATGAATGTCAGCTCTTATTAATATCACATTTTATTACAGTAACACCTTAACTGTACTCCGACAATAAGATATTCTTCCTGCAGCCCACTTTATGACGTTTAAGAGCAACTCCGCTAAACACATGACAAGTGTTTTTTCAAAAATATTTAAAGGTTTGAGATCAAATTCCATCTCCACTGGCCTTAACAGCCCAAGCACCTGAGTTCGACAACCATCCCTGCCACTGGTCAGCCCCGTGACCTTGGGCACAGCACTTCACCAATCGGTGCCTCAGTTTCCTCGGCTGTGAAGTGTGGCTAAGGAGCCCTCTCCCAGCAGGGCGGTCGTGGGGTCCCAGCAGTGGCCACCCCCTGCTGCTTCGGGGCAGCACAGGGCAGGGCGAGCCAGGCCCCTCTTCCGTGCCCCCCTGCTCTAGGGCGGCCAGAGCAGATGGATGCCCAGTCCGGGGAGACTGCCGAGCTCTGCCGCCTGCAGAACGCGAGCATGAAATTGGGTGGCCCTGCAGGGGTCCCTGGGACTGTAGGTGTCGGAAGAAGGCTCGACCCGAGTCGTTCACACGCCGTCGCCCGTGGGCAGGGCGCGGGGAGCCGCGGCGGGAGGGCGGGCTGACCCGGGGAGGGGCGGAGAGTAGGGGGCCGGAGTTGGTCGGCTGGCATTGCGGACCCCGGGCCCTGTCGACGGCGAAAACACGGAGCCGAGGGCAGGGAGAAGGAGCGACGTCCCCGCACGCCGCGCCGCGCGCCGCGGGCGGGTAGGGCTGAGGCGCTCACTCACCTGAGGCGCGGACGCTGCGGTCAGTGCAGCAGTAAGCAGCAGCGGCAGCGGTGAAGGGTGGGAGGAGGAGGAGCGCGGCGGGCGCGCAGGCGCACTGAGGATGCCAGGGCTGCGCAGGCGTACTACGCTCGCCTGCCTCGGGAACTACCAAGGAGATGGCGACTGAGGCGGGAGGGGCTGGCGGCGCCATATTGGGTGTAGTTTTTCTTGCTGCGGAGTCTCCTCCGAGAAATCTGAGGGGCCGAGAGGGAGGGGTGTGGAATGCTGTGTCTCCACAACCTCCTCCCCTTCCTCTGAGTCACATCCTTATGAAATCCCTAAGATCCACGCGTGCCTCTTTTAAGAAGGCTTGAGGCCGTACCCAAGGTCACAAGGCCCCCAGCACAGTGCGTGGCACCTGGAAGGGGCTTGGTAAATTTTTGTGAATGAACACAGTATCTTCAAAACTAGAATTCGAGACTCGCGGCTCCTAATTCCCAATCCTCTTTTACATCCCCTCTAGAACTACCAGTCACACTATTTGTTTTTTTGAGTGCAACATGAGAGATGGATTTTTTTGTTTTCCAGAATCACTGCACACATTAAACTTAATAACCCAACAATTTAAATAACACTAAAATGCACAGGACATAATCCCTCTCCCTTAGGAGTTTTATTCGTTGATCTATTATTTCTTTTAATGTTATGTATCTGGGACTAGAGACTATTCTCTGAACTAAATGAGAGCAAATGGAATAAAAACAATCAAATCTTTCAGAGGCAGTGATATTGTTATTCATCACGCACAATTCCTGAACCAAATTTGGATAAAGGAAAAACTGATTTTTGAGCACAACTCTTTATTATACACTTAAGTTTGTTCATTAACATTTACTGAGTGCCAAATTGGCTGTATTTCGCCCTCCACTGTCCATATGTCTATGGTTATATTATTAAACCATGCCTAAGTTCATTTATAATGACAAAAAAAAATAGAAACCACCTCATAAATTTATAAGGACTGGTCCTTAGTGCTCAATAAGTATTATTTTTCTGTGTTTTATTTAGCTGTTGAAGATAAAAATCACACTTTCCAATCCTTCAGTTTGAACAAGTACTCATAACAAAATACACAATATAATAAGTAAACTAGAGGAGGTGTGATTACCTTTGGAAGTGATCTATCCTCATTTTATAGGTGAGGACGTTTAGGATAAGAGATGAGGATTCACTTCAAGCTCTGCATTCTTTCCATTATACTACTGTGCTTCTGCAGGAGTGGGTAATCAGCACCATTCTTTTCATTGTGAAGTTAGCTTTCCTTGAGGTTTATTTCTCTTCTTGTTCTACTATGGACAACTTAATCCATTCTTAAATCTTCAATAACTAGACATCTCTCTCAAGTTTTCTCTCTATTCCAGACATCTCTACTCAATTTTCCCCCTTTATGTCTGACAAGACTAGTTGAATTCTCCATTTGGTATCCCAAATTGAACTATTAGGTTTTCCATCTCATGCTCTACCCACTTGTTCAAGCCTTCATCCTCAGGAGCAAACTGATAACCAGTGTTCTAAATCTGTTACTTAATCTAATCCTTACAGTATCCCTATAATATAGATTCTGTCCTTCTCCTGACCTTACAGGTAAGAGGTTAAATAGCTTTTTCCCAATAAGATAGGAAGTGGCAGAGTTGGGTTTTAACACAAAGGCTCCATGTCTGACATGTTCCAGACACCATAAGCTGCAGACAGTTCTGCCCCATTCATTCACTGTCAACACCCAACACAAGCTGTTCTCACCTCTACTACTTCAGTAGCTTAAGTGATCTTTCATATCCACACCTTGCTTGCTTCTATTATTAGTTCTGGCCTGGCTCAGTGGTACACACCTATAATTCCAGCAACTTGGGAGGCTCCTACTTTTTTTTTTAAATTATTATTATTATTTTGCTTTTATTTTTATTTTTTTTTTAGTTGTAGTTGAACACAATCTCTTTATTTTATTTATTTATTTTTATGTGGTGCTGAGGATTGAACCCGAGTCCCGCCCCTGTTAGGCGAGCCCTCTACCACTGAGCCACAATCCCAGCCCGAGGCTCCTACTTTCTTGAGACATTGAGGCAGAAAGATCAGATCACAAGTCTGAGGCCAGCCTGCATAGTTTAGTGAGACCCTGTCTCAAAATAAAATTAAAAGGGCTAAGGATCTAACTTGGTGATAGAATGTTTATGTAGCATGCGCAAGGCACTAGGTTCAATTCTCAATACCATAGAAAAGAAAAAAATGCTGCTTTTGCCTAGAATACTTGCCCAGTTTAATGTCTTTAACCTTTCCAAGGTAGCTATATCATCTCTCTGTGTTCCTGGACTGGGGACATAGGTTGGTAGAGTGCTTGCCTTGTATGCACAAGGCCCTGGGTTCAATCCCCAGCACCACACCCCCCCCCCCCCCCAAAAAAAAAAAACCAAAAAAACACCACTCTGTGTTCCTTGTTTCCAGTACAATGCGCATGAAGGAATTTCCCTATGTTCTTTGTACTCTCCCCAGTGCCTAGAAGTGTTTAAGAAACAAACATAGGGCAAGGTGAGGAGATATCACCTCTCCCCAATGGGTGTTCAATATCTAATATTTTGACTGAATGTCTAAATGTATAGGTTTTGTCCCATTAGTGTGATGAAAATTTTAAAAAAAAATTAAAAATAAATTAGCTATTTTATTGGTAGTAAGTTCTGAGGCATATTTTCATACTACTGCTCACTTCACTTTGATAAAGAATCTTATTTTCTGGGCTGGGGTTGTGGCTCAGTGGTAGAGCACTTACCAAGCATGTTTGAGGCACTGGGTTCAATTCTCAGCACTGCATATAAATAAATAAAATAAAGGTCCATCAGCAACTAAAATATATTTTTTAAAAAATCTTATTTTCTATTAAGCATTCTTTGCCTTTAATCATTTTTAGAGACTGGGGCATAGCTCCATAGTGGAGCACACTGTTAGCATGCACAAAGCCCGTGGGCATAATGCTCAGCACTACAAAAACAATACTTTAAAAATACACTCAAAACATATATAAAGATAGGAAATTTTAAAATTATTTATAATTTTATAGTTTATTCATAAATACAAAGAACTACTGGGAAACAGGGGGTGCAGCTTGGTGGTAAAGCACACTTGCCTAGCATGCTGAGTTTGATCCCCAGCACAGAAAAAAAAAAAAAAAATTAAAAGTAGCACTTAGTTCCTCTTGCCATGAATTCAATGCTTAGTATATCAACTCAATGTTAAAAACTAAAGTGCACTCAAGACATAAAAAATGAGTAGTATTTTCTTTAAATTGGACATTTTGTGAAGTGATATATGTATCCCCATGATGGAAACAATGCTCAATGCTCTTCTATCTAAAATCCCCTTCATAGCCACATCTTGAAAACCAACCTGACCCCTTTATGACCAGAACCCAACTTGGTCTCTAAAATGTTTCATTAAACTTGGTCCTAAAAGACTTTGGTTTCAAAAGCTGAAATCTTCATACTATGAAGGATATTCAAAAGAATGGGCCACTGGTTTTGAAGGCCATTTCAAAAAGGAAGTTTCAAACATTTTGCATATTCCTGGAAAAAAATGTGTTTCTAATTTTCTTTTGGATGCATGAATTCTATCACTCAGAAAAAAGTCAAAGTTCTCTACAGTCAGCTAGCCAGTTATCCTCCATAGCAACAGAGCTGTCCAGCTCAGGCTGCTGTGCAGCTGCCACATGCTGGGGCACTCTTCCCAATCCTCTCCTTTGAGTGTCTTCTGGCAAAAAAGCTGGGCAAGATCACTGACAAGATCCAGAGCAATGTGTGGTAGATGGTTTCTGTAGGTGAAGTTTAAGCAGTTTTCGAGCAGGTGAAGTATCTAACTGTTGCATGCTTCTCTTCTCTGCAGAGGAAATGAGACAAAACTAAATTCAATTGAATTTACATAAAGTTTATTGAAGAACTAAGGGTGTAGTTCAGTGGTGGAATACTGGCCTAGTACTCGTGAGGCCCTGGGTTTAATCCCCAGTATTGCAAAAAAAAAAAAAAAACCCAAACAAACAAAAAACCAAACAAGCAAAAAAAAGTGTGAACACTGTTAGATAGTGAATGACATTACAATGACAAGGCAGTTCATGGGGATTTAATTCTCAGTCTACTGTTCTTCTGTGGAATTTACATCTAGAAATTTCCCATCAACAACCAGGTACAGGAGCACACACCTATAATCCCAACTACTGTTGAAATATGAAAGGCTGAGGAGGAGGATTGTAAGTTCAAGGATAGCCTCAACATAGTAAGGCTCAAACATAAAAAGCCAGAGGACGTGGCTGTAGCTCAATGGCAGAGCTCTTGCCTAGCATGTGTGAGCCAGTGGGTTTGATCCTCAGCACCACATAGCAATAAATAAATAAAATAAAAGTATTGTGTCCATCTACAACTAAAAAAATAAAAAGTTGGGGGCTGGGGCTGAGTGATAGAGCGCTCGCTTGACATGCCTGAGGCACTGGGTTGGATCCTCAGCACCACATAAAAATAAAAAATAAAGGTATTGTGTCTACCTACAACTTTAAAAAAAAGTTGGGCACAGTAGTGCATGCCTATAATTCCAAGTGACTCAGGAGGTTGAGGCAGGAGAATTCAAGGCCAACCTCAGGAAATTAGCAAGACACTGTCTGGAAACAAAAATAAAAGGACTTGGGGAGTCTGTGGTTGGAGCTCAGTGGTAGAGCACTTGCTTAGCATGTGTGTGGCACTGTGTTTGATCCTCAGCACCACATAAAACTAACTAACTAAATAAAAGGTATTGTGTCCATCTACAACTAGGAAGAAATAAAAATTCAGTGTGGTGGCTCACACCTGTAATCCCAGAGGCTTGGGAGGCTAAGGCAGGGGGATTACAAGTTCAAAGCCAGCCTCAGCAATTTAGCAAGTCCCTAAGCAACTGAGTGAGAACTTGTCTCTAAATAATATATTAAAAGGGCTAAAGATAGGGCTCAGTGGTAAAGCACCCTGGGTTCAATCCCTAGTACCTAAATTTTAAAGGGTGGTGGGGGTGGTGTAGCTCAGTG